ACCCACGAAAACTGAGTTCTGTGTCAACAGATGTAGTTCCTGCAACTATTCTAGGAAAATCAAGTGTATTCAATGATCTTCCAACTGCCAAGTGTTGCAATGCCGCTCTAGAAGCATGGTAACACTTCGGGCGTCCTGCCTCGGCACACTGGGCCCGGGTTCCCGTTTAGACTGGGTACCAAAAGTGAGGTTCACAGAGGGCTTGGACATATTTTCGTAACAACAGTTTATTGCTTGTTACCTTTATGAAAAGAAAAAAAAAAAGATGCCTAGTTCATAGAGCTGTGCCTCCCAAAAGCACATTGAGAATGGGAGCTGGCCTGCGGCATTTACTCTGGGAACTTTCATAATAGCCACCTACGATGTAAAATTATGTAAAATTTGTGTCAGAAACACAGTTCTGTAAACCTTACTTCCAGAGAGAGAGAGAGAGAGAAAGAGAGAGATCTACATTTCAGTAATGCCTTCCAGAAAAAGCTCCAGGAAAAAAAGTCATGAGAAAATCAGCCCTGATTCTGTGAAGCATTCTAGATAAACAGCCTCTGTAAGAAGGTCATGTTCCTGGCTCCTCATACAAAGTAAATGTATCTGAAATGCACAACCTGGTTATTATGTATTGAGATCATTATATGTTACCCCTTCCCATTCATCAGACACAATGCAACTTTCCTGTACTTACAAAATAAATGCTTATCAATGGTTTAAGGGTTGTTTTTTGAAAATTGTTCAACGAAATCATTTAAAAACATCTCTGTGCAAAATCATCAGCTTTTTATCATTAGAGAAACTAAGTTATGATAAAAAAAAAAAACACACAGTTTCTTAGAAACCAACTGCACATATGAGGATGTAGATTTAAAAAAAAAAACAAAAACACAACTTGCCCTGGATGGTTTGGTTCAGCAGTTAGAGCATCGGCCTATGGTCCAGAGAGACCCAGGTTCGGTTCCTGCTAAGGGCACGTACCTCGGTTGCAGTTTGTCCCCGGCCCTGGTTGGTCATGCGGGAGGGGATCACTCGATGTGTCCTACGTCGATGTTTCTCTCTCTCTCTCTCTCTCTCTCTCTTCCTCTCTCTCCCTCCCACTCTATCTGAACAAAAAATGGAAAAATGGCCTTGGGTAAGGATAAAAAAAATTAAAAAAACACAACTCTTCCAGCTCCATTAACACTGGAATTCCATAGGAGGCGAGCCTGGGGAACAAAGGCTTAGCCCCCTTCCGTTGTTCCATTTCTCTGACGGAGTGAGAATTACCGCAATCCTTTCATTGTTATTCTCCTCCACATTCGCCCCACTGTTCTCTTCCTTAAAGCTATCAGTTCAACAATGCATTCCCTTATACTTTATCGACTAATAGCCAGCAGAACAGCCAACAGACTTTCTTGATTTGGCAAAACTCCAATGATTGTCTTCACAGTTTAGACTTGGGTAGGAATTTAACGCCGAACACACGAATCGGAATCCAGAAGGATCCGTGCCCCTGCTTACATTCAGACGGCACCCGTGACGACCTCCAGATGGAGGAATGAGAGAAAACTTGCTGTTATGAGCCTTCCTGCTTCCAAAAGGCTTCGTCCTCTGGTTCACATAAAGTTTGACATGAGAACATTAAGCCGATCCCATGTGCTGTAAGAGCCACGCAAGGCAATTCTCCTTGCTGCTTTTTCATCTAAGTCCAGTTTTGACCCCACACAACTGCAGTGTTGTTACAGAGGACACTGTCTGAGGCTGCTTCTGAAACCTCAAATGCCTCCCAGAAGGAGAGAGAGAAAAAAAGAGTCACATATTCATGTGAATGTATTGCTGACTCTTTCAAGGTAATTCCCTCAAAGCGGTTGCAAATATGGTTTCAACAGTTGTGATATTGTAGGAAAGCCATATAACCCTCCATGGTAACTGCACCAAATGACAATATTCACTTTGTGTGTCTCCAGTTAAGAATGTGGGCTCAGCCCTTTAGAGTCCATTATATAAATGGACTGTGAACAGACAGGGACCACCCTCTTTCCATGAGCGATTGTTATCTTTAAAATATCAAAATCAATCAAACAGAAAAATGTTCAAAACCCTGCATCAGATGCACTGAGAAATACTCAAGACTTTTTCCCTTGGCTTTTAAAATGATTTAAAAGCAACTTAACTCTACCGGAGATTAAAAACCACGTACCTAGCCAAATTTCTTGAAGGGCTTTTAAAAAAATCTATTACTTCCACATTAAAACTCATAGTTCTAGGTTTCTTCTATTGTTCCTCAGAAAACTCTCTGTGGTTACTAATGACCCCTTACAAGTGAAGTCCAAGTATAGCACAGTGATTCCATGCACAGGTGCATGAGCCAAACTGGCTGGGTTCCACTTTTGATCATACCACTTACAAGCTGTCTGACCTTGGGCAGGCTATTCGACCTCTGTCTGCCTCTGTTTACGCCTCTAGGAAAGAGGGCTCATTGTAGAAGCTTTCTCAAAAGGTTGTTGCGCATCACCAAAGTACAGAGTTCAGCACATGCCTGGCACACTCTGAGTACCCAGTACCCATCAGCTCTTGCTCTATCAAAGGGCCTCTTTGTGATTTTCATTCTTTCTTGACCCTTTGAAGAGTCGAACGATTGCCAAGCTATTTCTTGAACGGCTTCTTGCGTTTGGCTTCTTTGGCTCAACGCTCTCCTGGTTCTCTTGGTGTTGTCCCAGTGTCCTTCTGTTCTTGACTCCTTCCTCAAGCTTAGTCATCATGATCCCTCCCCATCGCCAAGTTTAGGTCTAGCTCCATCGCTCTCTCTTTTTTCATTACCTTGAGGAGCCTCCTCCACTCACATGATTCACTGTGTTTAATATAAGAGGATTTCACAAGATTTTAAATGGTCTGCATTTTGAGGCAAGATGGCAAGAGAAAGTGGGATTCCACACAGCCTTGTTGACAGTAACCATGGCAATACAAACTAGCTTGTGTTGTCATTGCCAAAACAGGCACTGACCTCATTTCAATACTCATAACAAATGCTAAATGCTAACATACTGCACCACTGAGCTTAGGCAACGATTAGTCTTCCTGATTAATCAAGGCCCAACCAGAAGGCAACATGGCGGGGGGAGGGGGGGTCAGGAAAACCATAATGCATAAATATAAATTTATAGAAAATAACTATAAGAGGAAGAACAATGAAAGAAACTTAGGGTATAAAAGAAAATAAAAGTGATTCCATCTTTGATAGAGAACATGGCAGGAAGCAGGAAACTCCAAAGCTCACAAGGGCTTGGAAGCAAGCTAAACAACTAAATGGCAGGAGGTGTTACAACAGGGAGTGGTGGAGACTGGGGCAAGCTGAAGAAGGCAACCAAAGGCACTCACAATCGGAAGGTAAAAATGTAAGTCCAACACATCTCAGGCCCTTGCTTTTCTTCCTCTAAGTGTAGAGACTGGAAATAGTGTCACTGTTACCTGCCCAGTGAGGCTGATGAGTCACAAAACTTTTTTTTTTAAATATTCAGTTTACTGGCTAAAAGCTACAAGGAAGATAAATTGGCTTCCTAACCTCATTGCACTTGCTGAGTGAATGTTGTGATTCAGAATTCAAACATGCATCCGCTGTTCATCTCCACCACAAACCAAACCACTATGTTCATGGATTAAGATTCACTCACTGGTTGAAGTGAGCCAGAACCTGCCAGGATTGTCCCCAAAGTGTATTCCACGCTCGTATTGGCTCTCTGGGGTCGTTACAGGTGTATAATAGTTCCAAGATTTCTCAGGGACAGAGCTGCTTATTCTAAGCAGGAGTTGTAGCTGACATTTTGTGTTCCCTTCTCTGTGTACTACATCATGACAGGAAGCTGTTGGTGTTTTGTGTGTTCACTGCTCCTTGGTCTGGGTCAGAACATGCCTTCTTTTCTGCATCCTTGCCAACTGAAAAATGACAGCCTCGTGTCGCTAAAAAAATCATGCTTGTAAAAGATGGGGCCAAATTCAATTAGGCATCAACACTGTAAGCTGTGCATATCATAAAACCAATGAGACATACCCAGGATTGTCACAAGTGAGCACACAGCAATTACTCCCAGGTGATGCTTATTCATATCTGATCATCATATCTCCAGGGTTTCTGGTGCTTTAAAAAAAAGTCCAGTCCCACGTGTATTATGTGCCATGCATCAGGGAGAAATAATAATATGAAACCATAGTTGCTGCTGAAGAGCTTCCTCTCCAGTGGGGTGGGGGGACATGAAAACCTGCTTCAATACCATGTGCGTGTCCTATAAAAAGAGGGGTGCAGAGAGCGCTAAGGAAAAATGCAGGAGCACCAGCTCAGCCTCCTGGAAGGAAGAGAGGAAATTAGTAAAGCCTTCCTGAGAGTTCATTTTTTTAAATAAAAAGTCACATCCCAATGAAAACATATTACAATTAGCCTAGGTAGTTAAGCAACTTAAGAAACCAGCCTAGGTAATAAGCAAGGTATTCAGTACACTAACTGACCATCAGAAGTCATCCTGACCATGCGCCTACACGTCGGTAGGCGTTCGTCCTGACGGTTCTATGTTTTTATTAACGACTCTGGAAATCACAAACATACATTTGAGTAAAAGGACATATTGCCTCTATTCTTTAAAGAAGTAATCTGATGACTTTCACAAGAGCAGAAAACAGTGAAGAGTCTATCAATGGAGATACAATTCTAGAATCTGAAAGACTCCCCTCTCCCAAGTGGTGTAATGGGAGTCTAATGAAGGAAATTATACTCATGTGTCACCCCTCCCATGGAAGGTCCTGGACTATATTCGTGGGTGGAGCAGGCAAAAGGTAATGATTAAAGAAAGCCTTCTTCCTGTTCCCAATCTCAACTACTGCAAATGCCTGAAAATCTGCCATTTAGGGACCAATTTTATTTAGATACCGTGAGGATCCTGTGGGAGCAACATATATTTAACCTCAGTGCAAATTTCAGGAGGTGAGCATTTACAGACACTCCAAACGTTGGAGAAACCCCTGAGTAATACGCCACTTTTTTTCAGGGGAGAACGCAAACACAGTCCCCCACGAATTGTGCAGTGGAGTTTCCCACCCTTGGGGAAATCGCAGGGGTCAGCACACCCGGAGTGCAATGGACAAGCCTCACCCTGGGGAAACCACCTTCGTGATCCTGGCATCTCCCCTGCCAGGTAAGTGTAATGTACCACTTCTAATTGGTAGTTTAGTGACTTAACCCATTCACGTCATTTCTTAGTCAAAAAAGCAAGTCGTTAAAGAAATAACTTTGGAATAGCTAGACACCATACCTTCTTTATTTTAGATTGTGTTATTATCAATACCCAAACTAGGAGCATCAATATCCTTTGCAGAAAATTATTAGTCATTTTCTTAGATGTAAAATGGCCTATAATTTCATCTTATTAGTGATTTTTTTCTAAAACAAATTGAACCTAGTATTATCATCTCGAAATTATTTTTACACACTTTGTCTCAAGTTACACATGAACTGTTTTAATCTCAACAATTTAAGTCCTACATCTTCATTGAGTAAATAACAAGGCCACAGAATGATACTACCTAATCGAAATATTTGTCTTTATTACTCTGGATAGCATTTGATGAATATTAGCTCCAAGTCAATAAAAATACATCTATGCAAGTGGTGAAGAGAAACAGTTTTAAGAAAGGGCTCCAGACCTGGCCAGTTTTGCTCAGTGGTTAGAGCATCAGCCTGCGGACCGGAGAGTCCCGGGTTCAGTTCCCGCTAAGAGCACGTACCTCGGCTGCAGTGTGTCCCCGGCCCTGGTTGGGGTTGTGCGGGTGGCAACCACTCAATGAGTCTCTCACATCGATGTTTCTCTCTCTCTCTCCCTTCCCTCCCCCTCCTGCTCTGTCTGAAGATAAATGCAAAAAATGTCCTCGGGTGAGGATAAAAAATATATATATTTAAAAAAAAAAACAGGAAAGGACTCCAACATGGAATCAACTGCACTGTGCAGGCCGAGAGCCCTCAATGCATCCACCACGTCAGCAGCACACAGTGGTTTATCGGCAGAGATACAAGGTGAGGTATCCAGTGATCATGAATTCACCCAGAGTCACTTGTTAAAACATGTATTCTTGCTTTATCAGCAAATAACTGTGTAAGTGAATTGGTACAAATAGAAACAGAGAACAATTTCTCATATACCACTCTCTGCTCTTTGTTTTTAAATAACATAGACTGAACATCTACTACTGAATCTTTACTTTCCGTCTTAGAATCAAAAGATCTTTAGACAACATTGGATAAAAGTCATGGTTGCAGTTTAAAATGTTCATGAGTATTTTTCAGTGAATACTCTTCATGGGTATTTTTGCAGCTTTGTATGAAATGAACCCTCCGAACCTTCACTTAAACAACTAGGAATGGTAAGAAAAATGGCCATGACTGTGGACACAAGGTGATCAAAAATGCCATAGTTCAGAGGGTGGGCAGGAAATGCAAGCACGTCACATATCTCCATACATCTCATATCATATGAATGTGTTCAACCTTCTCAAACGCAGAAGTGAGGATGACCACCCCCTCGGCAGGCTGCAGTGAGCACCCAGAAAGCCACACACCTGCAGCAGCAGACACGATGTTTCCACATGAATTCTGATTGCTGAGCTTGTATGTCGGTAGTGCCTCCAACAGGCCCTAATAGATTTGTAGGTGTGTTTTTCTTCATCCTAAATTCTTCTCTTTCCATGCAGATGTTTTGTTCAGACCCATTATTTCTCTGATTTACTAGAATAATAATGAACTCAAGCATTACCCTTATGGAAAGTTCTCCTTTTACCTTGATGCCATCTGGTACTGATGCTCACTATTGCCTCCTGGAGTCCACCGGAAAGAATTACTGAATAACACACATAGATTTAGGGCCACTCTCTTGTCACCCTAGGAACCTTCCCAGTGACCATTCGAAAAGCCCCTCAAAGTTTGGCAAAAGTCATGAAGTAGCCACACAAACCCACTGTGTGTTTAAGTCAATAACAGTTTCAGCCACCAGAACATCTCTATACCAGCTCACTTTAAAGGTTACCTCGTTCACACTGGGGTCCCGTGAAGCCGTAAGTGCACGCACAGCGATTGGGGGCCACGCACCTGCCTCCGTTGAGACAGCCGCTGTCACAGACCGCTGGAAAAGAAGGAGAGAGAAGCTGAGAAGCTTTCCCTTAGCCTGGCTAACGGAGTAACACGCACTGCCCCCTGAACCGACAATGATAATGAAACATCTAAAGAGTCGCCCTGGTATGTGTTTTAAACAGTTACTCTACAGTTCCAGCTCCTTGGACAGCCCTCGGTCAACTTGGGTAAACTGCCTGGAAGAGGTGAGTTTGTGCCTGTGTTAATGCTGACAGTTTCTTTTCCAGAAGCTCTAAGCAATGCTTTCAGTTCTGATCTAAACCTCAGGGGGAGGGGGACGAGGTAACGAGGAGGAGGGGAGGGGCGGTGGGAAGAGATAAACCAAAAAACGTACATACGTAGCCAATGGACACAGACAATAGTACCACACAGGCGGGGTGGGGTGGGAGCAGGGACAAAGGGGTCAATGGGGGGAAAAGGAAGAGACATCTGTAATACTTTCAACAATAAAGATAAATTTTAAAAAATAAAACAAAATGGTAGTTTATAAAAGACGTTACCGAACTCAAAGATACAGAGAACATTTTGATGGTTGCCAGGTGGGGGGTGACTAAGGGAATGGGTGAAAATGGGGAAGGAATTAGGACATACAATTGCCAATTATTAAAGCAGTCGTGAGGATGTAAAGTACAGCATAAGGGACACAGCTGATAATATTATAATAACTGCATGGTGTCAGGTGGGTACTAGACTTATTGGGGGAATCACTTCATAAGTTACTTAAATGTCTAATCATTGTTGTACTTGAAACTCACAGGAGCTCAGGGCCGTTGCTGTAATAAATGAGTTAATACATGTCAATGGTCTGAAAATGCGCCCAGCACGTAGTAAGCACAGAGTAGATAACCACAGATGCATGCGGTTGCTCTGGGTGTGGTTGTGGTATCCACTCCCCTTCCCTGGCTCTACTTTGGACAGAGACATGGTGTGCAGAGAGACCCTAAAACCTGACCCATGACCTCCGTTCCCACCTTCTCTCCCTTCCCCTCACTTCCCTTCGCACTGAGGCTTAGCAAAACCACAGCGCCTGCTTGGTCATGGTCCAGTACTTTGGCCTATGCTGGCCATCTGCCCGGAAGGCCCATCTCCCACCTTCTCACAAGTGAACTCCTAGCCGACCGCCAAGACTCAGCTCAAGGGCGCCCACACTGGGGAGGTTGTCCCGCCTTCCCGTGGAACTGTGGTGGGCTGCACGAGACTCAGTCACTGCAGTGTGTGGGCAGTCACGAGGGCGTTATACACATTGTAGGTTATTTTTAATAGTAAGAGTAATCGTAACAACTACATATACAATGGCAAAAATTGCAAACAACATGAATAAATGCCTATCAGTAAGAATTTATTAAATAAACAGTAAAACTTCTACATAATGAAGTATTATGCAACCATTAAAATGCATTTTTAAAAGTTTAGTAACAGGGAACATACTTCCAGTGGAATATTTAGTGGAAAAGTAGTATGAAAATGTATGCACAGGAGAAGATTTCATGTACCAAATATGCATTAAAAGACTAAAGTTAATATGTGAAATGATGGGGTTATGGATAATTTTATTTTTTACATTTTTGAACTTTTTCCAATTTTCTGCAGGGTAAATGTCTTTGCCTTGGTATAATAAAAAAGTATATAAGCTTTTTAAAAGGCATTTTTGTCTTCTGCAAAGCACAGGGACTAATAAAGAGCAAACAGTGTTTGCACAATAAACAGTGTTCATGAATGAACCAAGACTGAACTCCGTGTGATACCCATTGGAGTAGCAGAATCTAGACTGGAAAACAAGAGAGAGGCAGACACCGCTGATTACGAGAAAGGACATGTTGAGGAGAAAGATGAGACTGATTTTTGAAACACTTTATATGAGATGCTTCTGGAAAATTCAGGTGCAGAGGTTCAGCAATGGAAGGTATACAGCTGGAACGAACAATTCTGCACCTTCGCTGGTGATTGTCAGTCAAAGGGATGAGGTAAGAGGGGTTATGAGGATAAATGGGAGAGGGAAATGAATAAAACCACCCATCCCCAAGGTACCTGTCAGAAATTGGGTGCTAAGTGTGCTGGGTAAGTGACCTGTTTACCTAAAAGAGTCACTGGACATTGCCCTGGCCGGTTTGACTCAGCAATTAGAGCACTGGCCCGTGGACCAATCAGTTGTGAGTTCAATCCTGATCAAGGGCATGTACCTCGGTTGCGGTGTGTCCCCAGCCCTAGTCGGGTCGTGAGGGAGGCAGCCAGTTGATGTGGCTCTATCATATCGATGTTTCTCTCTGTGTCTGTCTCTCGCTCTCTCTTCCTCCCTCCCACTCTATCATATGATAAAAAGAAAAATATCCTCAGGTGAGCAATTAAAAAAAGAGTCACTGGACATCTGTGAAAATGTCATGTCTCAGGTAATCAATGAGAATCCATCAGTGCTTATACCTGTATTCTCTGGGTCTCCATGTCTGCCTCCATGGATTAACAGTGAGAGCACGTGTATCTGAGGTTTACTTACGCTGCCCACAGTGAGTCCCCATGTATCCTTTCTGACATATGCAGTGGTCGTCGCTGCAGCTGCCTCCATTCATACAGCGGATATTACAGTGCTGGACTGGAAAAGGAAAAACGAAACAAAGATGATTCAATTTTGCAACTGAAGTCCCTAGACTGCAACAGTTCACAGAAGTTGATTTGTAGTGATTTAAAGAGAAACTAGATAATTTATCAAGATTCATATATGTATACAAAAGTAGCCTGACTGACAATGCTAAACATGTTATCCTTTGTGTGTGAAATAATTTACCATACACAGTAATTGCTTCTTTGATGTTGACTCTAAGCATGCTAAATGACTTCCCTCATTTAGCAGAACTTAGCCACTCAACATCATTTCTGTCATTTATACCAAGAAAAGGAGTGTTTTGAGTAACCATATGAGACAAGCTTACCACCGCAATAATGTTTCTTTGAAAAGATTTAGAACGCCAGGTAGGTGCCCAGGAAAACAGAATGACAAAGTCCAAAGAACTCTGTCAGAAGAAATTTGA